AATTTAAAAGAACAGTAACAAGGTAATTACTGAGTAACTATGCAAAAAACAGAGTTTACACCACCTCGAACGTGAAATTTAAAATAAAGTTTACACTATCTCGGACAAAAAACTTTCGTTAGCGAAAGCAGCTGGAGACTTGCGGTTTTCAGCATTCCAAAGAGAATCGTATTTTTTAAATGCAATTGTCAAATATGATTGGTCCGCTATGGCCGGTAACCTATGGTAAAATATCAACAAATTATTGATAACAAAGTGTGGTAACGGGACGTTTTTTTGGCGCTACTTAGAACTGTTCGTGGGAGGGCGCTACAGCAAGGGCCAAAATGGGGGAGGATTTAAACACCTATGGTTAGGAGGAGGAGAGAAAACACAAAAGAAGTTTTGATTCTGTTAAGTGCATTTGACTTAAAGACTCTTTGAGCGTTAAATAATTTGTTGATATTTTACCATAGGTTACCGGCCATAGCGGATCTAATGAACACGTGCGCAGATATGTGCGACGCATGACTGCACTTATGCAATACAAGTGCAAAAAGCCATTGTTCTTGCTATGAGACTTCTGAAAAACTCGCTCAAAATCTATGAAAAACCTATACTATCGACACAAAAATTATGTCATGAAAAAGTAGTATTAAAGCAAAACAACATCATTCCTTTCACAGTTTAGTCAAATCTCACACTATTTCTGCCATTTCACTGGGCTAAAAACATGATTCCGACGCTTTTTCACCGTTTTCATATCTTCATGTCTTTTCGAACAGAAGAGCACCAGAAGCTCATGATTGTCTTATATTGTGACGAAAAGTGTACCGAATAAGATGACAGTGTCGGCGTTCTGTGCGGTTCCCGATTCAGGAGAGACGAAGATACTTAACACTAAAATAGTTTTCTTGCTTTTAAAAAGAACATATATCTCCATTTTGTTGATATATTTCTGTAACCAAGAGCTTTAGAGAGCTGACACATCTTATCTTGTTCAGCACACTTTTCGTCACAAGGCGTGATAAAGGGTATGCACGTGCTCCGACGTCTTCCAGTTAGAAATACAAGGACAAGACATTAGTACGAAAGCATTGATGCTTTCGGACAAGTCATGTGGAACGGCTAATTTAAAGTTTCGAGAAGTAAACATAGATATGTAGAATATTTTTCTATTTGTATGCTTAAATGGATATGCAGAAAAAGGTTTTCGTCAATTTTAAAGTGTGTACATTGCTATGAAGATTCATTCTATTCTATCTTATTCTACATTTCAGGTAATTTATGAGGGGTCACAGTGCTCTAATGTTACATGTTAAAGTTAGTCTTGTGTGGTGTGAAGCATGAATGGTGATGGGATTCAATACATTCATTCTGAGATATAAACAAGTCAATCAATGACCTTCATTATGAAACTGCTTTTTAGTTGTTTATTTTTTTCGAAAGACATAAGTGAATCAAACAATGTGATCAAACAATGTTAAATAGAATTTGACAAAATATCTTAGCTTTTTTTTCTATTCAAACATTTCAGCATGCCTTCTTTTCTATTTTTCTGCATTTACTTATCATTATTGCTGTATATGAAATAAAAGAATAAGAAAGAAAAGTGACAATTGATTGCCAGTGACATGCGGCAACAGGTTTTTATTTTTAGTATAGTAATTTTATTCATATATAGTGACGAAGAATGAAAAAAGTAGGCTTTTTCATTATATATAAAAAAGAAAAACTTCATTTTCTTTACAAAAGCAAACCAATAGACGCTTTAAAGTAAATCACAGTAACTGAAAACACTGTGAAAATTGATGACTCAAGATTTGGTATGTATGACATTTGTGTATTTGAAACGAATAGATTGTGAATGGAACAAGCGTGTGTTTTTGCTACTAAAATAATCCAACAAAAAAAGGTTACTTTGATCTACCAATATTTTTAAACGTCATTTACCACTTGAATTCTCTATGTCATAACTTTATTTGAAGAGTAGAGTGTTATAGAATTGTTGTTTACTTTCTTTTTCTACATTTTCGCTTACTTAGCTAAGAAGTAAGGGAATTGTCCTAAGGTAAGTGAATTTTTGATCACGCACGGTAAAGGAGACAAGCTTATTCAAACAAAAAAGTGAAAAATCTTGAAGGTAGAAAAGCTTCGTATCAAGTACAGGTCATTTTTTTACACCCTCTCCTGTATTGCTTCAATACCAACAAAATCAGGACTAAGTGTCGAGAAAGATTGCAGAATAACTTGAGAAAATGTTTGACACCTGTACATTAGTACAAAGTGAGTATGAATAAATGAATGCCCTTCTTAGACACTCTTTAAACAAGTAAAACAATGATGTCTAGCAATCTATCAGCCATCTTTATCATTAAGTTTTAATTAAATAGAAGAACTTCGTTGTACGCAACTTTACAGTTCATTTCTAGAAAAAATAGTGATCTTGAACCCACATTGCTCTAAGATTTTGAGAATTGTGATTAATTTTCGTGTAATAAAAAAATAAGTAGACCCGTTAAACTTGAAAAGTTTCTGGATATAGACTCACTTAATACAAGCGACTTTATACAAGTGTAAATTTTAATTAGGCGTAGAGTTTCTGTTTAAAGGCTCTATAATAATTTTTTCCGTCTGATAATGATAAAAAAAATTGGTGGTGTAAAAAAATGGCATGTGCTTGATATGAAGCTATTCTACCTGAGAACAAACGCAGCTGAATTAGTAAATTTGAGATATACAGCAAGAATTGAATATATCTGTCATCATGACGAAATGAAATTAGAACTCAAAGCACACGTTTCGTGGTAAGGTCATTTTTCATCTTCCAATATTTTTCGAACAAAAAGCATCTAGACGTGATAAGTCAACCATTGCGAACATTTTGTACGACTCAGTTTTTCAATGCGTTTTATCGACCTTTTGTGTCTAAGATATCTCTTTCCGGGACTGACTTAGAACTTCTTCTCTCAGACTTTTATGAGATTTATATCATCAGATGCAGATGTTTACATTGAGGACGAATTGTCTACTTTTATTGAGAAAAAAACGCTTTCTTCATAGAAAAAATTTAGTTCTTTACTATAATGAAGTCACTGTGACAAATGTTTAGTTTTAACTGTCGGCCAATTTGAAAAACTTATTTAAAATTATCGAAAACATTTTTGGTTTAAAATTGTTTGCTTCATTAAACACATGTAAAATGCGGTCATTTGAAAATTCAAAACCATTTTATTTGTGGTCACAAACTGAAAAAATTGAAGTAAAACAACGATTTTTGCCAAATTGTTGCCTATCTTGCATCCTAATGGAGTCTAAATACTATGAGTTATGCACGTGAATTCAATACAGATTTTTATGCTGTTTCGAATGTAGTTTAAAAAGAGAAAAAAATATGTTTTTTCACGTTCTTGTCTCATCTATAACATAATTAAAGTTTTCTTTAACTCAACTCAATAAACTCAGTAAACAGAGCAAATGCAGAAGAAAAAAAAACACATACGTCTCATGTTTATTCATAGTTTAAAGTATATTCTTTCCATTTAGTTTAAATGACATTTTATGAAGCATTTCGTTAAAAAACTTTTTTTTTCTAAATTGTTTTTAAAACAAAATCAAAAGAGAAAGTTATTCATCAAAAACGTTAAGTTTTTTTTTTTTAAAATTTTCTGTCTTTGTATTATTCTCATTTAATATATTTAATGTTTTTAATGCAATATTTATTCGCATTAAGATATCCTGATAGAAACCATGATGTATAGAGATGATTTAATACACAGATATTGAGAGAGATAAGTTGATACATATCACCGGAACAAAAAAAATAATAACGTTGGTTTAGAGTTGCTGAAAAGTGATTTTTCGTATTCATCACACTCGATAACCCAGAAGATTTTCTGTTTTTGGCCCGAGGTACTTCCGAAAGTTTAAGAAAACTTTTGAAACAAAATGGCCCAAAAAGTTTTCGGACTTTCGGACGTACCTCCGGCCATAAACAGAAAATCTTCTGGGTTATCGAGTGTGATGAATACGAAAAATCACTTTTCAACAACTCTAAACCAACTTTATTTTTTTTCCGGTAATATGATGTTAAAGATGATTTCTACGAAAATTAGTATCCATTCATTCTACGTTGAAAAATAAGAATTAATCAAAATAAAATATTAATATAAAAAGTAAAATTGAATACTAAGTGTGTGTTGTGTTATCTATCTTAGAAACTAAAGAAAAAAATTATGAATAAAAATTTTGATCAAACAGTTATATTTGGAAATTCAGAAACAGTTATTTTTAATAGTATAAATGATCAACATTTTTCTATTAACAACCAACAATTCGTCAATCTTCAACTATTATCATCAACATCAACCACATGCTCTGAATCTATAGAAATATCTAAAGTAATTGATGAAATTGAACAAATTCAAAATACATTCAATAATCATTATGAAGAGAATGAACAACAAGAACAAATGGATCATCATATAGATTCTATTGAACAAAAAGTAAAATTAACAAAGAAAAATTTAATTTGTCGAGTTTGTGGTGCAAAAGCATTTGGTTACAATTTTGATCAAGTTACTTGCGAATCGTGCAAAGCATTTTTTAGAAGAAATGCATTAAGGAACATGGTAAGCTAAAAAAAACGATCATTTTTACCACTAACGAGAAAACTTATCCAAGTGATATCTTCCGATTTCGTTCGTTCATACATCGATCGAATAGAGGATACAGAACTAGTGAAAAAACTAAAAGGATTTTTCCCCATGACTCTTGAAGATCCGAGTTTCTGGAAAACCAGTTTTTCAGAAACTTTGAAAAGTAACTAAAAGTTTTCTTAATGAGACATAATTGTGATCTGTCAATTTGTGATTAAAATGAGACATCTCCCAGCTTAGATAGGTTTTCTCGTAAGCTTCATTTTTCTTTGTAGCGTGATATTATGAAAAACAGAATGGACTCGAATGTTTTTTGAATAACGTTCTCATACACTTGATGAAAACCGAATTTTATGAAAATTGCGTTCTTAATTCTAGCGAATGTACTGGTCCAAATACTTCGCTTGTATAATGAAGTCGGTACTTGATTTTGTTTCAGAGTAAATTTACTTGAAAAACTTTAGTCAAGTACTTATTCTATTTATCTTTATTTTGTATTTTGTACATATTCTGAAGTCATACTCTCCTTTCGCAGAGCAGATGCAGATGCATGGCCACCAAGTTTGTTGAACTCAGTAAATATCTAAGTTTATTTTCTAAGTTTATATTGATTAATATTGTGACGTTTATATACAACTTGTTGACGCAAAACAAAAGAGCGATTGACTCGTCCAGGTGCTTGACTGAAGTGAATCAAGTGACGATACTTGGTGAGTACTTAGACAAGAACTTGAAAAGTAAAAACACTAGTCAAGTTCTTGTTCAGGTAATTACTAAGAGAGGAAACTTGTCAAGTACTTTTTCCGTACTCAGCAGGTAGTCAAGTACATTTCCTAGGGAAGGCTGTTTAATTTAAATATTCATACCTTACGCAGAATAAATCACAACGAGCTGAAAGCTGCACAGTCGGATTCATTTCCATCGTTAAGCGTGATAATAAGATCGAAAAAATGGAAAACCCATGGTTTTTCAAAGCTTTCGATAATATAATTAGATTTAGTGGACAAAAAATTAACAATACCGTGAGATTCTCAACTGGTTCTAATGGGTTTTGAGTGAGTTGTGAATTTTTTAATGCTAGATGAAAATAGTTGGAAAATCATAATTTTTGCAAAACTTGGTTTTCATCAGATTTTAGGGTTCTTTTCGAGAAACAAATATTTCCATGAGCCTTAGCATGATCGATTACCTAGAACCCATCCTTTTCCGAAGTTACCAATAGTCAACGCGTAGCAGTCCTGAGATTCGAAGAAAATCCATTACCACGCTCGAACAACTAAAAATCAAGATCTCAGTTGGCTTCGATTTTGAAGAGAACACTTTGGACTATCTACCCAAGAAAAAAAAACAATATAATCCTGTTCGAAATTGTTGAAAAATGGCCGAGTTTTCCGGAGATCTCCTAGAAAATCTACTTCGGAAAATCCTTCTGGACACTTTCAGTGTATGTAAACATGTTCTCAAGTTTCCTCATTCGAATAGCTAAAACCTAACCTCTTTATCTCATTTCGGTCGAGAGTTATTAGAAAAATGACCACACCTATTTTCTTTTTGAACAGACAGTAGTTTTGTCCAGAGTTTTCTGCCATATTCTTCTCTAGGTTTTCTGAAAAAGCCAGGTTTTCAACTATATGTATAGTTGAATGCGCCCCCCTGAAAATTTCATCCACGTTTTGGACATGACAATACGTTAAAATACAAATTTGGGTTTTTATTTTTGGACTTCTTTCCAATTGTCAATGTTTTTAATACTAAAAGCTAAGGCTATGTGTAGGGTTTTGTCCATTATTTTATATCTCAAGAAAAAGAAAATTTACAAAATCCATCGAAAAGCGCGTCAGAAAATTCTAAAAACAACACGAAAATTGATTTATCTTTTTTCGATCTCCTATTTCTAGTAAGAATTTGAGTTCCATCAGACTTTGGCGCCGCATTTGTCAACAAGGTGAAAAGCGAGAGATAGGTATCTTTAAATCTCTTACTTAGTCACAGGCTATCATGATGCCTATCTTTCGAAAGAATTTTCCAAAAAGTTGACTAAGTTAATGTAAAGCACAATTTAGAAGATTTGGAGAAAATCTTAAATACGTAACGGCTTGGTCACATCACTCTACTACCGCAGTGTAATTTCGTTACGTTTTTATGCATTTTATCTCTTCTATAATTCTCGAATGAGGACACGCTCAGAGCTCTGAAACGTCTCATATTAAAGGAAAAAGTATGCTGAATATTTTGAGACGTTTCTACACTCTACACGTTCTGTTGTTTAGGGACTATGGCAAAAATACAAACTTATACTTTTTCAGAGTTATAGAAGAAACAAAATGAAAAAAAAAAACGTGACGGAATTACACTGCGATAGCAGAGTGACGTGGCCAAGCCGTAAGTGATGTATTCTTCAATCGTCGATTCTTACGTAAGAGTCAGTCAAGAATCTTTTGTGAAAGCTTGTAAGTATTGAAGAAGAACCTAAATTCTTAAACAAGATTATGCAGGAAAGTGGAAAGGGTTTCGTAAGACTCTTATAAGAATCTGATACGAGCTTTGTAAGGATTTCATAAGAAAGTGATAAGAACTCTTATATAGTTACGATTTTCTTACTTGGAAACGTTTCTTTGTAGTCTGGAAATCGCTAGACTTTTGCTCAATAAGTTGATCGACGTCAGTCCTACATTTAAAACCTACAAAAAAACAAAAATTAAGAAAACCAGTAATCCATTCAAAGTTCGAACCTAAAGCTTGCTGTATCCTCTGCTGTGCTCTTACCAACTGAGCTGTAACGAACTACGAATAGAACAGATTATCTCACACTAATATTTTACTAAAATAACTTTTTGACTTTTCACAAGAAAAATGGAATAGCGATCTCGAACAATGAGAGAGTGTTTTACAGTTTAGAACTTGTATCTTCTAAGCACTTTATAGTCCTCAATCTATTTAAATGTTGCAGAAATATTTACGATGAAAAACCAGAATATTTCTGACGGAATCGAATATAAGTTGCTTTGAGTGGGTAGGGGAGTCTTTTACTGCCAGTAGAACGACTTCTGTTTCAATATAAGATTCTTATCCGAATTGCTAAAACAAATTTTTGGCTAGGAAAATAGTGATATTAGAAACGTACGATTAAAATTTTGTTGATGATATTGAATAGTTTCTCTTCATTTCTAGTCTGGCTTAAGATGTCGTTTTACCGGACATTGTGAAGTAGTAATGGTTAATCGTCGACATTGTACTTACTGTCGTCTTCAAAAATGTTTTAATGTTGGAATGCGAAAAGAATGGATCCGAAGTGAAGAAGAAAAACAATTGAAAAAATATCAAATTGAAAATAATCGACAGTTGAAACAAAAGAAAAATGAATTTAACAAAAATAAAAATAATATTAAACAGACTGTAAGTAATTTATTCCCATGAGATAATTTTATTACACAAACGGAAGTTTCACCGTGTCCGGAAGGAAATTTATAAAAATAACTGTTTTTTTTAATGCGATGAAAACAAATTTGTTACGCATTTCAACATGTTAGAGAAAGAAGAGGTATAAAACTAACGCGTTCAGGCTCCTTTATTTTTAAAAGTCTCTTTGAAACGTCTTTCAACTTGTTAAAATGCAAAATCGTTTGAACGTATCATAAATATTTGATTATCTAACTCATTCAAATGCTTTTCTATTAATTTGTAGTATCTTTACATATCTCACGCGTTTAGAACAAAGTTTTAAATTCAAGATTTAATGCGCTTGAACAGACGCTTCATATCTACAAAATCTATAGAAATAGATTTATCTTATTGCAAACAGAATCTATTATATAATAGAGCAAAAGAAAGGTAAAAGAACGAAAATTAAAACACGAATGTTATATACGTTTATTAAATACGAGATATTGAAATAAAATAAACCAACTATAATCAAATAATCACAGATCCACATAGAGAGGATACTATATCGTCAAAAAGCTGTGAATCATACATAATAACGTAATACGCGTTCGACTGATCTGTTCACACGCTCCAACAGGTTAGAATATATACAATGAATGTCTTAGAACTTCTTTATAACAAAAGTTCTTTAAATAACCTGCTCTAACGGGTTTAAAAGTCAAAAAAACATTCTGACATTCCTCGAAAAAAATAACGACTACAGTCATCAAACTTGTCAAAAACAAATGAATCGTCGGCAAAACTTTTGTTTTTCTCGTGCAGTGTGTTGGAGTCACTTCCAGCCTGACAGTAGATACATTACAGACTTCACATACCACATGCCTTACTAAACTCAGCGTGTACAGGGATCATCCGATTCCTTGGTACTAGACACTTGATTGTTGCAAACAGATGATCAACGCTTTGTTGAAAATAAAGCATATTCACCAAAGCTCAGAATATATATGACTTATACAAGTTATAACTTCGATGCCGGACTTTATTGAAGTTGTACCCTAGTAAAATTCTTAGACACTCTTTAAAATTATCTTACCAAGATCTTATAAGATCTTATCCTCTAAGATTTTGATAAGATTTAATGTCTCTACTTCCATTCACCCCTTTGTTTTGCTCTCATTCATCTATATAATTTCTCTTCATTCTTCAACACTGGTCAACCGCTGCTTCAGATAATGCGGATTAAAAATTCAAAAATTCTAGGGAAATACTGTTTAAAAAACGTCATCGTTCTTACTATTAAGATCCTAACAGATTCTTACCCAATTTTGAAAGAATCTTAGACAGTATAATCTTAGTAAGATTTTTGCTTACATTTCGCTAAGATCTTAGAAAAATCTTATAAAATCTTAGAATTTTTGAGTCTTACGATTTTAGTAAGATTTGTCCAAGATCTTAGAGAAATGTACGCGAAATCTTACTAAGATCTTAGTAAGATTCGAGTAAATATCTCACTTGAGTAACTTCAACAAGTTTTTTAACGAAGTTATAACTTTAAATATGCTAAGTTCAATACGACTTAAGCACACCTTCAACATATGGTTATGCACGTGTAATGAGTATTCCAGCTTTGAAAATTTTGTAAGTTTCCTCTCTTCCTATAAGAAGCAGTTCTCCTAGTACTAAGGCACACTTCTACTAGGTTTTGCTGGACGGGCCTTATAGTCCATTCAAAGGAAGCTAATCGAAAATGAATAAAATTGAAAAAGTAGAATAGTAAATATATGACAGATCCAAATATATTCGTTGTACAGTAATGGATCTAATGAACTGTAGCTGGCCTGAAAACAGACGCGTTTGGAAGCGTTCATCGTTTCGGAACGCATTGCAACGTGGTTAAATCAACTTGTTTGAACGTGTTTCGAACTCTGACAAATTAAAACGTGAAGGATTTAGAGCGCGTTTCAACGCGTTTAGAAAAACTGAACTAGTTTGAAAGAATTTTGACTCGAACACATTGTAATAAGTTCATTTGACCGCGTTGCAATGCGCTACAATGTCATTTTGTGCCATTGTTTTAGCCCGCATATATTCGGACGCACCTTTTTAACTTTTAAAATTGGTGAGTATGAAAGAGAATATATTCACACGCGTTAGAAAGATGTCTAAGTCGTTCCAACGTGATTCTTAAAAGTTTTTAGGCCTATTCCAGCTAGTTTAGTATTTTTTTCGAACGCGTTAGAACTTTCTTTCCGGTGATAAAATTATTGTATGAGTTTTCTTTGATAAATATCAAGTTTATTTTGTTTCTTCTATTTTTAGATTCATACACTTAGTTTACTGTCAAATGATAAGTCAAGTTTAACACAAGATGACTGGTGTCATTTAAATAATATTTTTATATTATACGATCAAAAAGCAAAACCTGTTGTGTTAAATCGTCATTCATTGAACACAACAACTGTTAATGACTTTGTGAATAAAAAAAGTGTTTGGGTAATGCAATTATTATCTTATTTTAAACAAATACCAGAATTTCAAAAAATAAGTGTCGATGATCAAGTTCTTTTGAGCAAATATAATTTTCGTGTACTAATACCTATAAATTTAGCTCTAATTCGATATAAATTAGCGTCAACCACATCACCTTCCGATCATATCGATTTTATGATATCGGTACATGGAGAAGAATTATATCAAAATATGAGAAAAAATGTACTTAGTATAAGTTTATTTCAACATGATCCAATGATTATTAAATTAATGTTAATTATTATGTTATTTAGTGGATGTTTGTTGACAACTACAAGTCAAATGGAAATAAATTCTTTTCAAAACATATATCAAATATATACGGCACAAAACTTTTATGCAAAACTCTTGTGGTGTTACAGGGAATATGTATTTGGAGAATCTGGCGCTATAGTGGCGTTTAGTATGTTCGTAAGTCGATGTTTACGGATTCAACTAGTATCAAATGAAATTCATTCTTGTCTTAAACGACAGCTAAATCTCAATGATATATTGCCATTAATGCAATCAGTGCTACAGTTAAATTAACTTTGATTTTCGAACACTTATTCATTATGCATACATATATCAATTGTAAAAAAAGAATCTCAATTACGATATAAACGTTCTCGTAATGCTGTAGACTGATATCTAATCAAACGTCGGTTATTTTTCTTTCGACTGTTGGCACAAATTTGTTTCATTTTTTTTGTCTTGTACAAGAACGTTAGGAGCATTACGAAATAAAGCACTGAGGTGTTAATATTTATACACTGTCACATTTCAGTATGTGACTGAGCACTTATTTCAGAAATGTTGGAGTCTCGGTACTTAGAAAATTCAACTCTGAACGCACAAATCTGGCTTTTGTTAAAAGCCATATTGACAGAATATTTTCTTGTATGTTATTCTACTAGGATCTGGATATTGAATAAGAATCGCTCTAATAGAATAGGTTGAATAGGCGCCTTTTTCTAATTGCGTTATATTTCTTTTGAATGACATGTCTGTATTTGTTATTCAAAACTGATAATCATTCGAAAAAAATTACAATCAGTATACAGCTGTTATTTTTATACAGAAAACATCCGTATTACATTACAAGAATGCTAATGAAGAGAAAGAGAAATGAACAAAGAAACAACTATATGAAAATCAATGCGCATGAGCCATCATCCAACAGTATTGCTTTTTAGTCCAATAAATGAGTGTAAATATTTAACAATATCTATTTTCAGAGGAAATGTACTTATTTTTCTCTAAATTTTTGAGAATATAGCAATGAGAACGAAACAATAATTGAGACTTTCTCTCTGGTATTGGTGAATTATTCTAAATAGAACTGAACGACACAGAAAATCATAGTGGATGAGTATCATTTACTATAGTAAAAAATATCCTTGCAGTTTGGAAAATTTCTAGAAATGGAGTTCAATTAAAGCGATAAAAACCCATCGAAAATGCTCTGGGTTTGAAAACGTCTTCTGGACATCTTCCAAACTGCAAGGATATTTTTTACTATTGTTAAGTAAAAAATCACATTCAGCAAGTAAAATAGAGTACATTCTGATAGTCTAACATAATTTGGATGGATTCTCACTGAGTTATGAATATTTTGATTTTACTCAAAAATAGACAAAAATGGGTTATTTCACCTAATATAGGTTTTGTGGAACTTCGAAGAAGAGAAAGTAACAGTTTTATACCTAAAAGCCGCTGTTTTCATGGTAAATTTGACTTTTTGAAAAATAAACGTTGCCACGAGATTCAGCGTGGTTGATTACCTATGTTCCCATTCGTTTTCGGAACTACCACACCGAAAGAAATATTGATCCTGAGACTTTCACGAACTCCGGTGCCACACTTGAGCCAGGAAAGATTAGGAGTTCGCTTAGTTCTCATTTTGGAGAGGACACTTTGGACTATATACCTATGGAAAAAAACTGACAAATTGCTGTCTCAGTTCCCGGAGATCCAAATTGGCTCAATTTGGTCCATGGTCTCTAGAAAACTCCTGAACTGATACAACAAATGATTAAAAATCAAGAAATTTTGGGAAACTGTTGAAGAAATTGGGACAGCAAATACCAGAAATGAGTAATCAAATAATTCTTAAAAGGGCATATATTCTCTGCACAAAAATACATATGTACTCACAAATATTTTACGAAATGGAATTTGAAATTGAAACCGGTCAGCATGGTTCACAAGTTTGCATTTATAATTCACATCGATATCGTCACATCAGAAATAATAAAAAAGGTTCAGTATCATGGCGCTGTATCAACAAGAATTAACTGGACAGAAGTCAAGCAAGAAACAACATGTATCAACTGAGAATCAAGAATTTAAATTGTGTATAAATAAAGAAGCGTATGAACTGGATGAAATGAGTCTTGAAGAATATATGTCGAGTGTACGGGCAGTAGCTTATCGCTATATAGACGAAATATCACAATCAAATTAAGAATATATGATATAATGATATATTTTTCTATTTCTTACAATCCATGTTTTACTTGCTAATTAAAAAGTGTGCGGAGGTTGAGATCACATACATTTCGAATTCATGTAATTATGTGCGGAGTTTGGGATATAGATTTAGAATTCAGTCCCGATTCGTCGACACTCACTCTCACACCGCCCCTCCCGCCTTTGAAATTCTTTGATTCTCTGAAGTGTCCGATTTGTCGACGAATCGGGACGACTAGATTTAGTCACTTTTTATTAAAAGTATGCGGAGTTCGGACATGAACCAAATTCTCATTTCATCAAAAAGTAAACTATACACTCAAAGAATCTGAAAGGTGGCGAGGACAGTATAAGAGTGAATTTTCGGCGAAGCGAGAACTAATCGTTTCTTGTTGTCATGCATTTTAGGGAATGCGTCAAAATGCGTATTGGTTAAATTTTCTCATCGATGATAGAAATGGAAAGAGAATTTAACTGATTTGTAATTTAAGTATTTTACAAATCAGCTAACAAGGGCACCTCCCGAGGTGTCCCCTTCCAATTTCAATGATTTGTACATGGCTCGATAGATCTCAGTGAGATGGTAAATATCCTAAAAGGGTTCGGGTGCATAACTCTGGAAGACCCGGTTTTATGGAAAACCAGTTTTTCAAAAACTCTAAAAAGTAACCACAACCTGTTCTTAATTAATGAGTTATAATTGCAGCCCGCAAATTTCTGATTAAAATGAGACATCTCCCAGCTCTACACGACCTTTCTTTGCAAAGTTATAGAATTTACACAAAAAGCCCTAAACGTTCATTGTCAGCTCAAAGCTACAGAAATAAGAAGAAAATAATTTAGGGCTTTTCTTATAAATTCTATAACTTTGCAAAGAAAGGTCGTGTAGAGCTGGGAGATGTCTCATTTTAATCAGAAATTTGCGGGCTACAATTATAACTCATTAAGAACAGGTTTTGGTTATTTTTAGAGTTTCTGAAAAACTGGTTTTCCATAAAACCGGGTCTTCCAGAGTTATGCACCCGAATCCTTTTAGGGTATTTACTATCTCACTGAGATCTATCAATTCATGTACAAATCATTGAAATTGGAAGGGGACACCTCGGGAGGTTCCCTCGTAAGTGATGCAACAACTTGCGAAACATTTGTTCGTAACAGTCATACATGTACAAGTGAAAGATCTGCCCAAGTCCACTGTCTTACTTGATTCGAGGATCGTGCTAAAATCGCGCCACTCATGCCGCGATCACTGAGAAGTCGCTATTGTCGCGGAGCGTTCGAGACCAACCCTTATTTTACAAAAAATTTTTAATTCGCGATTGTGAAGCGACTATAACGACTTTTTAGCGATTGCGGTCCTAGCGCGATTACTGTAAGAAAAAATTATCATGTCGAACGTATTTTTCTCTTGCAAGCGCGATATGATACAGCGTCGCGGCGCGTCTTCCGTGCCAATCCTGTTCACCGTTTTTTTTTCGTGCCTGGTATATAACTCTTACTGTTTTTTCGAAAAATTTTCAGAATCTTATCACATCTTAATAAAAGCTTATAACATGACTAATATAGTCTTGTGTAGTCGCGTCGCGCATACGCCATTCACCTGCGTTGGCAGTAAAAGTAGCGGGGCTCATCTACTGATATTAAATAAATAGTAACTGTAGTAAAATACTTGAGAGTCATTGCTTTTTGTATGAAAGCGAAAAAATAGCTATCGCTAAAAATCGTGTCTTATCTCGCGAGTCTTACAGCGAACGCGATCCTGCTGCGATTTTTTAAAGAGACTCGCGTCGCGACATACGATAAAAAAGTGGACTTGGGTGTTCATATCTCACGATGGAAGGTTCCCAAGTCGACCTCTAATATTTTAATGAATGATATCTGGCAAGTTACAGTAGACTGCATTGATCACAAATCTGCCAATGTGGGATGCTGAGACTTCTTTTTAACAAATTAATAACACTAGAATGCTAAGTGAACAAGGAATAATAAACTTACGATTTTGTTTCTTAGGGATTTATCTGCAAATTAAGGCTACTTCCAGCCATAGAGAACATTTTTATTAAACGTTATAAATTTTGTTAAAGAATAAAATATCTGTATTTCCTTAGCTATTTAGATGGGTGGCTGAGGTTTGTGGAGTTATGATTAGCGTACTTTACGATGGTGGATTAAAATTAGTGCCTTATGCTTGTGAATAATTTGCCCCAAAACTTTCTTCAAATTCGTCTGAAAAAGTCACATCAAACATGTTTCGTCTTCATACGCTACCAGAAAAATGAACTACTATTCTATTAAATGAATCTGAATAAAATATCCGAAAAGAACAATTATTGATTATGTTCTTAGACAAATATTGACATATTTGTACGAAAAAGTAATGAATTTTCGCGTTGATTTTAGTTTTTTTGTGATGATTATTGTCAAAATTTTCGGATGATGTTCGAAGCGTTGCTAAAACCAGAAGAAAATCAGGTGAGTCGTGAGCAACTACTAGATCTACCAGAACCCCAGTAACAGCTACAACAAGATCCAAGTGAAGAGGTTCAAAATCATCACGAAAACAACTGAAATAAACTAAAATCTTATCTGTTTATCCATACATATATTATTCAAGCTATTATGTAATATTACTTTTCTTTCTTGAGTATTGCTTCAATAAATCTCGTAATTCAGCATATTAAACCCAAAAAAAAATTTGGATCCATGGAGTAGATAGAGGAGACAGAGTTGCGTCTGCTGTACAATTTTAATGAGAATTTGTCCCTTATCAATTGAGTTATATGTGTTTCATTTGCCGAGTGACGCAATTTAGAAAATCAAATCAAACTAAAAACGTAATAAATAACTTTTCTAAAAGTGCAAATAGTGGTTTTGTCCAGAATTTCATTAGCTTTTTAATGGTATATAATGTCTGTATGTCTTGACATTGAAACTAGAAAAAAGCTCTTTTACTAGGTACAACGTGAAAAAACAACTCATTTTTCTCAAGTTTCAGTAAAAAGCACTAAGTCGTTTTCTTCGATCACCAACCGTACCACTAGGCTTAGAGAGTCATGTAAATCAACTTGGCATACTTTTTTGGATGTTAGTGTTGCTTTTTTCTAGGCGTTCGTGAATGTTTATTTATAAAGATGGCTAAAAAGCTCAGCTATTAATAATTGTTTTGAGTCTTAGTATATTCAACTCGGTGACCTCTAACGATTGGTTATCTCAGATTTTAATTTGGGAGATTTTTGAGTGTTAGTGGGTATTCTCATCTTTTGTAAATACTCCGATACTGAAGATATTGATAATTACCGCTTATATCTATAGATTCACCCTTACAGAATAGAGTACAGAGTGTTGGCATATTTAGAAAAAAAGCATTTTTCACACATCCATCGTCTGACCATTCGTCGACCATATGATCAATTTTCTTCAAATTTTTTGATTAGCTTCTTATTTTTGTTATTCTACTTGTAGATTTGAACTCGTTCCATATTTTGCTATAATGACATAAGTTATAGTTCAACTGTGACACATTTGTTAAATATTGAAGAACTAATCGTAATTTCTCGTCTACAAAAGGTAACCTATGTCTCTGACTACCTATTGAAAGACAGATCTAAACTATTGAACATTGTCTTTATATTACTGACCGAAATTTTGTATTTGTTAAAGCAGTGGTCATTTTTCTTACCCATAAATTTATAAGTAAAAATTAATAAAATACTAATGAACGATGTGACTAACGAGGGAACATATGTAACTGACCAATCGTTTTTTCAATGAAATCTAGTGGAGTATAGGTAAAAAATGGTGCTGAATCCGAATATCAGCATGAGACGGGCCACTAGACCTTGTGGTACCGAATTTGTGGAAAACCAGGTTTCCAGAACCAGAAACTTTTTGTTCCAAAAATATTTTCTGATCTGTCTCGATTGTAGAGCACATTGAGAAACCTATAAAAAACTAGTTTTGGGGGTTTTTTAAGTTGTTTTGAAGGTTTTACAAAGCTACAGGCTCCCTAAAAAAACCTCAGTGTGCGGAAAAGAGAAGAAAAGTCCGTCTGACGGGCTGTGGAAGGGTTCCAAAATTCTGAAAACTAGTTTTTTATAGGTTTCTCGATGTGCTCTACAATTGAGACAGATCAGAAAAAAATTTTGGAACAAAAAGTTTCTGGCTCTGGAAACCTGGTTTCCCACAAATTCGGTACTCACAAGATCTAGCAGCCCGTCTCATGCCGATATTCGGATTCAGCACCATTTTTTACCTATACTCCACTAGATTTCATTGAAAAAACGATTGGTCAGTTACATACGTTCCCTCGTAAGACGATGTATAACGGCGTAGTCAGCTAACTCTGCTATCGTGAAGAAATTCCATAACGTTTTTTCATCATTTTATTGTGTTTATAAATCGTAAACCAAATGACGCATACAGCTGCAACACGGCTTAAACTGACGAAAACACTGTTACGAACTTTTTAAAATATGTCCCAGCTTTGTAACATGTCTCGTTTTAAAGACGAGTGTTACGACGACATGTTACAGAGCTGGGATATATTTTAAAAAGTTCATAACAGTGTTTTCGTCAATTTAAGCCGTGTTGCAGCTGTATGCGTCATTTGGTTTACGATTTATAAACAAAATAAAATGATGAAAAAACGTTACGGAATTCCTTCACGGTAGCAGAGTTAGCTGGCCACGCCAATAATAGAGGAAAAGTGTTATATAACTTACGTTTTAAAATTTTGTGTGCGGTCACAAATTATAAAATATTTACAGTAAGAGATAATTATTGTGCTACGGTGTAAAACTTCATGAGGCAATATTAAAGAAAAATCGAGAATATTTCGTGTTATTGCTAATTTTATTGCCTTTATGCCACGTTGATTAAAAGAATTTTAAGCATGAATATCATATAGGAGAATACGTCTCTTTCACACCATATCATGTTGAAATTTTAAAAAATTGATTAAAATCCATTTTTTTTTTATTAATAAATTTAAGTTGAAATAATACTATCTTGTAGAGTTTCTCCACATTCTTTCTTTTCATATATTTGAAGTTCAATTTTTCAGTTTAGTATTGAATGAAAATATTTTTTGATTTATCCATAATTTTTAGATAAACAACTACTAAAAAGTACCATTGTCTCTAATCCATTCAATGTGGATAAACCAAGTGTTGATGACAACTTTTTTCAATCTATTTTGAAGAAGAAACGAATTTAATCTGCCACTATTTGATTAATACAAATTCTAAATCGATTTTGTAACCAAAAATATTCTATATTTGTTAATAGTACAATAAATTGAACTCTTTTAAAATATAAATATTTTATATTCTGTAAAAGTAAGATTGAAATAGTTATTATCTTTTACAGTGTATAAATTAAAGTGAAGAACAATTAAAATTTATTATGTGATTCTGACAATTGCATAACAATATTTTTTATAATAATTTCTAAATATCTGTCTGATGTGTGAGAATACTTAAGGGTGCTGTTATTTCCTTGTTCATTTCAAGTGCAGCTAATTCAAGCTCTAAATCTGATTCAGTAACACAATATGAATCTCGAATTCGAAATGGTACACTTAATGTATCAGTTATTTTATCACATTCTAAAACTAATTGAATATCGTCATAATCCAATTGTTTAAATCTATTACTTTCATTGTCTGACACGTACGACTAAAAGTAGAATATATACAAATGAAAAGTTAGAATAATTAAAAATAAATATTTACTCTATGTTTGGTTATTGTATCATCTGTGTTTTCACTCAATGTGTCTTCTTGACTATAGATAATCAATGAATCTCAAAATAAAAATTATGAGTTCAATTATTTTTTTTTTTAAAGAAAAAAAAAAAAAGAAAAGAAAATACCATGATTGTTTTGAACGGGTT